AACTTAGAAAGATTGACTATTTTTTACGCCATGTTTAATTTTATTGGATTTCTTTTCTCACTACTAAAAGGAATCTACAATACATGCGCTATACACACACAAGTCAACCGTCAAGCCAGTGTAGCACGCATATTATTTGCAGGATTTTTTCAAATATTCTCCTCATCCATCAACAAAATACTTTTAGACGCACAAATCAAAGAATATAACACGAAACTAGCCACAAGACCAAATACATACGACGAAGAACACAATAATGTAGACACGGTACCTACAGCACCACAAGTACCAACCCTACCACATAATCATCCCTTATCTTTAGTTCCCAGAAATTTTTGAAATTTAGCGATCACAAATAACACAAATTTTCGACCAAACTCAGTACACAGCCCTATTCAGCATAAAACAACAAATCACTCACAAAATGATAATACATATGAACAAATTATAGAACAACCCCACACCACTTTTCAATCTCAAAAAAATCATTTTTTAAGCCCACGATGAGCCGACAAGTTGGATCCCTCCACCGCTCAAATTCCCACCCAGCAAATCTCCAAAACCCAATCCCAATTCTACCACTTTTCGCTTTTCCCCCACCTGATTTTGCAATTATTAATATACCATCTAGCACGAGTTCAGACACTAACTCAGATATTTCAGTTTTTCATACTATTTCACAATTTAATAACTCAGACCTTGAAACTCCCGACGAATTTGCCAACTCTGAACCCTTTTCTTCCACCTATTCCCAAACCAACCCTTCACATTTTTCACAACCCCCTTTTCAACCCATCAATGCCAGTCAACCACTAACATCCCTTTCCACTCCCTCTCATGCATCCCAAATCACCCCAACATATACCCCATCCCTTTCAGACAGATCAACCAACAACTCCCCAAATATTCCACAAATTTCCCCAGAATTAGATAATTATATTACCCTTAAACAGCAAATTATCCATCCCCATACTCTTACCATACATCACCTTTCATCAATAACAACATCATCCGGCCCACCCACACCTACACCGCTATCAGATTATACTCCATCATTAAATCAATCCTCCACTTCAACAGACACATCCACTAGCACTAACCGAGCTTATCGCACTTTCAAACGAAAATTTCCAAATCACCCATTCACAACCAAACCAGGCACAGCTAAAGAATATATCGACCATCCACAACATAAAAATACTAAAACCTTTCTCCAAACTAACTTACCATCATTTCCTCAATACACCTTGAATACACCTACTAATAATGAGGACACCAGAAATTTTGTTGACGAACACGTCTTAAGGCCAACACTACATTGGAAATCATACTAACCCTCTTTACCTACCTCTTTATAACACCATCAAGGATAATGAACAATGCAAAAATATGTTATACAGACTAACAACAGCACTCACACCACGTCAATCACATACGTTGGATTTAAAAAACTACTAAAAACATTCACCGCACCCCGCGCTAATGAATTCACTGTCAAATATTATGATCACAACATCATACGCCCTAACCAAGACCAATTTTTAGACGACGACCGCTTTGCTAACCCACAACTAACATAGAAGTTCTTCATCAAAACACCATATTTATTTACACTTAATATTTTTGATAAAAAACACGATCACATCATTTCCGAAGCCCTTATTGACACACAAGCCTATCAAAGCTTCCAAGATAAATTTAATATTACACTAACCTTCCACTTTCTTACACCACAAGAACGAGATCTGCACTGCTCCCACGATATTGTGTTACGCACTAAACAGACACATACTTACACATATTATCGCTTTATGCAAAATCACTTTGATTTACATACACCCTCACGACAACCCCACCATCGTTTTCAATTCATCAACTCAAAGCACACATCACCATTTTTTCTAAATTTCACTTATTGTATCAAAAATACTAACCTCCACGGCATCCTCCGTAACTACGACCCCGTTCACCAAATGTATATATTTTGCCCCATCACAAAGACTTTCTAAGACAAAGAATCCAGACCTTTCCTCATCCCGCATGAATTCCTACAACCCATTAAAATTCCCATTCTCGAACTCATCCATAACACTAAATATAATCATAAACTTTACAATCTAATCCAGAACACACTAAATGAATTCGCAGTAGGCACCGAAGAACTAAACATCATCAAAGCACTTCAATTTCTTTGGCCACTGCTAGAAACTAAGAACATCATTCGCATATAAGCTAAATTATTAACATCATCTGGTCTAATCCAAGACCTCTTCCCACATGGCTTCTTCCCCGAAAATTAAGGTAAGTATATTTCAATTATATCCACTAATACAATTAACTAACCATTCTTTATAATGTTACACTTCATTTTTCTAGTCTTCTCACCACCATCATCTACAAAACGAAAAAAGACAAACAAAAATTTAAACTCAATAATTTAAAACTACAAATCATTTAAAACTTATTTGCTAAAACAATTTCAATATAATAAAACTTTTGCACTATATATTGTCATAAAATTCATACAAATGTAAAAAAAATAATTTATAAATTCTTCCCCCCAAAAGCAGTAAAAATACATACAATGAAAGTTTATAATTTCAAATTTCCTCAAAATGTAGTAAAAATTCAGATTCAAGAAGTAAATTTATAAATTGAGAAAGCAGTACTAACCTTTTCATTCATTCGCACAAGACTTCTATCCATACTCGCACAGCTCGCCCACGAAGAATTGTTTAAAATAATGATTTTATGTTCGAAGCTTTCAATAACAGCAACTCTCACTAACGATAACAAGTTTCAAACTTTTCTTTAACCCGGTTGGAATGGAGTTATACACTATACTAAACTAACCAATGCAAATGGAAATCATACTAACCCTCTTTACCTACCACTTTATAACACCATCAAGGATAATGAACAATGCAAAAATATGTTATACAGACTAACAACAGCACTCACACCACGTCAATCACATACGTTGGATTTAAAAAACTACTAAAAACATTCACCGCACCCCGCGCTAATGAATTCACTGTCAAATATTATGATCACAACATCATACGCCCTAACCAAGACCAATTTTTAGACGACGACCGCTTTGCTAACCCACAACTAACATAGAAGTTCTTCATCAAAACACCATATTTATTTACACTTAATATTTTTGATAAAAAACACGATCACATCATTTCCGAAGCCCTTATTGACACACAAGCCTATCAAAGCTTCCAAGATAAATTTAATATTACACTAACCTTCCACTTTCTTACACCACAAGAACGAGATCTGCACTGCTCCCACGATATTGTGTTACGCACTAAACAGACACATACTTACACATATTATCGCTTTATGCAAAATCACTTTGATTTACATACACCCTCACGACAACCCCACCATCGTTTTCAATTCATCAACTCAAAGCACACATCACCATTTTTTCTAAATTTCACTTATTGTATCAAAAATACTAACTTCCACGGCATCCTCCGTAACTACGACCCCGTTCACCAAATGTATATATTTTGCCCCATCACAAAGACTTTCTAAGACAAAGAATCCAGACCTTTCCTCATCCCGCATGAATTCCTACAACCCATTGAAATTCCCATTCTCGAATTCATCCATAACACTAAATATAATCATAAACTTTACAATCTAATCCAGAACACACTAAATGAATTCGCAGTAGGCACCGAAGAACTAAACATCATCAAAGCACTTCAATTTCTTTGGCCACTGCTAGAAACTAAGAACATCATTCGCATATAAGCTAAATTATTAACATCATCTGGTCTAATCCAAGACCTCTTCCCACATGGCTTCTTCCCCGAAAATTAAGGTAAGTATATTTCAATTATATCCACTAATACAATTAACTAACCATTCTTTATAATGTTACACTTCATTTTTCTAGTCTTCTCACCACCATCATCTACAAAACGAAAAAAGACAAACAAAAATTTAAACTCAATAATTTAAAACTACAAATCATTTAAAACTTATTTGCTAAAACAATTTCAATATAATAAAACTTTTGCACTATATAATGTCATAAAATTCATACAAATGTAAAAAAAAAATTTATAAATTCTTCCCCCCAAAAGCAGTAAAAATACATACAATGAAAATTTATAATTTCAAATTTCCCCAAAATGTAGTAAAAATTCAGATTCAAGAAGTAAATTTATAAATTGAGAAAGCAGTACTAACCTTTTCATTCATTCGCACAAGACTTCTATCCATACTCGCACAGCTCGCCCACGAAGAATTGTTTAAAATAATGATTTTATGTTCGAAGCTTTCAATAACAGCAACTCTCACTAACGATAACAAGTTTCAAACTTTTCTTTAACCCGGTTGGAATGGAGTTATACACTATACTAAACTAACCAATGCAAATGACTAAACACCACAATTCATAAAATAACAGCATGAGTAAGAAAAGAACACCAACGGTACCCAAACCGGATTAACCCAGCTTGAAACTGGATAATTTATTCTTTTGAAGACTATTATAAAGTCAACGAAAGAAATAACAAAACACAAAAAAGTCGAAAGACAAATCCAAACCAAAAACAATTTGATTTTTGAAAAAAGGACACAACCATAAGCAACATAAGAAAGCCCAGAAAAAACTACCATATAATGTTAACAAAACAGGACCCCTCAAAGAAACCGCACGAAATCATACTTCCACTCCTGACCTAACCCACCAGAGAGGACGTCCTGAGCATGCTCTATAGCCGGCCTAATCCACCGCGCTACATCCACGCTTTGTGACCACACTTTATTTTTATTAAGAGGTACTCAAGGGTGAGTAACTCTTCAAAATAACTGAAAATAAAACGCTTTTGTTAAAACAATTAACCAAGATCATAACTAAAAAACAATTAACTAAAACCTATAAAATGTAAATCATAATATGCATAGATCACACACAACAGCAAAGACGAACATCCAAAGACTAGATGATCCCATCACAACCTGAACAAAGAATGGCTACCAACCACAACCAACATGCCGCGCACAATCACAACTCAAAGGATTTTGAAAACGACTTGACTTCGCAGCAAAGGACTTCATTGAACCAGACCAATGACCACCTCGATGTTCAAGTATACGTACAGATCCGAGTAACAAGGCATCCCTTCCAAACACGAGTTTCACGCCATTCCTATACGAGGTTGATCACAAACAACTTTCCACAAATGCAAACAAAACTGACATAGCAAAGCATTTTGGATCTGAAATCTAAACGATTTCATTAAGGATCACATTCGTTGACAAACGACAAGAAGATAACTTCCTATCTCTAATTCCAGCGTTCTGGAGCTTTTCTCTTAAAGAGAAATCATGTCGACGGTTCTAGTCTCCTGGACCTTTCTTCTCCAGGGAACAAGAAAACGAAAATGATGTTCGCCACATACCAACGCCCATCATCCATCCTTCAATTGCAGAAGAAAAGAGATAGAACTCAAAAACTCTGTAAACCCCGGATGGGTGGAACCTGATCTAAACTACATTTTATTATTTATGATTTAGATATTTTACCACTGTAAAGTATTTAATATTAACCAATCACAATCCATCTAACTAACTACCCAATTATTTGTAAGTGCTGAAATTACTTGTAATTTCAGCACCAGAGAGATTTGAATTTAACTTAGAAATTAGTTGCCTCTCCCGAGTACTTCAGCAGCCGCAACAATACCAGTATACTCTAGATCTATTGAGCCTAGCAGAGACTAGTTAAACACCCTGAGACTAGTAGTTATAAGAGTAAGATTAGGATCGGTATTAGACTAAGAAGTTGCACGAATCTATCCGGCCGAAAATAAGATAGCGTGACGAGCAGACGGTGTACCCTATCCGAAATTACTCTATGAGATAGACCCCCATATCTAAACTCAAGTAGTTCTTGCTTTCAATCTTCTTTTTCAACTAATTGCTCTACTGATTGTAGGCACTAAAAAGGTTTCTATACTGGGTTTAACGTATGAAACAAGTACATTTTTTATGATAAGACTATGAAGCATGCAGTTCTCCAGCCTTATGGGCGTATCATAAAAATTCTGAAATTAAAAAGAATCCTTGTAAGTTTTTAAATATAAGTACATCATTGAAAGGGGCTTCGAAACTTTGTAGTCATTTATGGACTCAAAAAAAATTAAGAAAAAACTCTTGACTAAATTTGTTTGGCTAATAGAAAAACTCAAATCCTGAGTTTTTAAAAGATCACAAGGATTTTTTTTATGGAAATCATAAACCAGTTTTCTATTGTATTTTTGGATTCAAGTAATATCAGAGAAATTGCAAAAAAGAAATCGTTCAATAGATATTGGAAATGAAAATTTAGAGAATAACCATCAAATTTACTTCCTGTTTGGTCGTTATTTGTTGATTATGCCAGTTTTTAGTTTCGAACAAGCACTTCCATTCCTTTACTGAGAGGTTTAGTTTAAAGAAAAAAGAGTATGTCATTTTAGTGCGTGAATGACCCGTCACTTGACGAAGTGGGCTCGGAGATTGATTGTTTTTCAGAGGCGCGAACAATTTGACATTTCATTTGACCGCAATTTTGAGGATTATGAAATGGGATTCGGAGATTATTGCGGTGCTGGAGATTTTTGGCTGGGATTGAAAAAATTGCATCAAAAAACCCAATTTGGAAGATGGCACCTCCGATTGTCAATGAGGATATTTTCGGATTCTATTGTGTTTTGGGGCGAGTGGAGAGGTACATTTTGAATGATACAATACTAAGTTTTTTGTAACAAAAAGAAGAGAAAATTATACGAAGAACATCACGCTTTACCCGAATCGAGGTCCGCGGCTAACTTGAAGACTTTGAAAGTCTCACCAACGTTAACTCCAGGACCAAAAGTTAGAGCAATGTCTGAACAAATGTTGCCCATGGAGGCTTATCGTTTATCAAAACATGAGAAGCGTTATTTTGAAGTTTACATTTTTGGTTGCCAAGGACTTGATGCCACAGTGATCATGCAATAATGAAACAGGTGAAACGGCCGCGGACAAACCTCTTTGGTGTGCTATGACACAAAACAAAAAATTTTTTAGTCGCCTTCTACCCAAAATACCATAACTCGGCCCTGACCATCTGATCATATAGCGAAAAAACCAGCTCGACTGAAATCGTGCAACATTATGATTTTTATAGCATTTTTTTCAAGTGTATTCACTAGTTGGTTGAAAAGCTTACTCTCGAAAATACTATCTAGATTTAAGGATTTTTTCAACAAATTTATTAAAAACTTCATGAGAAACCATGATCACAATGTGAACAGCCAACAATTTTCTCGTGTCTCCTTAAATAAATTTCTAAACGTAAGCCAAATTTTTTTTGATGATTTAAGAAAATTGTTAATTTTTATCTATATTTTTAAGCAATTATTTCATGCGCGTTCCCCTAGTCGGTTACAAATTTCTGGAACAATAAGGACTAAATTGAAAATTTTTTGAGCTAAACAGTAAATGATTTTTTGGTTGTTGTTTTTGTTCCCTTTTAAGTTAGTAGTTAAAACGTCAGCGTTTATGTATTAATTTGCTTCCTGTATTAATTTAAAGTACTTCCAAACTTCAAAACTGGTATCGCGTTTAAAAAAAAATTTTTTTTTTCACCATTCGATTGGCCTCATGAAATAAATTAATTCTTCAAAGTTTCCACAATTGAACAGCTTGCTTAAAAACTAAATTGTTTTTCGCGAACTGACTCCATCGAATAAATAACTTGAATAAAAAATAAGCAGGCTTTATCCCGATAAAAAAATGCACGTGTTTTGTTAAGCAAGAAAAAAAACAACAACCACTGCAACATCGAGAACTGAGCGGACATTTTATTTCAAGCAGTGCTCGTATTTGGATCAGAGCTCGTGTTTGGAGCTGAACTCGTGAGTTTGGAGCAGAGCACGTGTTCGGAGTACAGCTTATTTGTGGATTAGTGCTCGTGTTGGATGCAGAGCCGTGCTTGGAGCTCGTGTGTGTTTGGTACAGAGCCGGTGCTTGGAACTCGTGTTTAGAGAGGTGCTCGTTTCTGGAGCAGAGTAGCCCGTGCTCGGTAAGAGTTCGAGTTTGGTTCGAGGAACGCTAGTGTTTGCAGAGGAGTTGGCTTGCGGAGCAGAATATGGTTTGTTGTACTGAGTGTGACTCCAGAGATTTCATTATCTCGGAGTTGCTGCTTCTGGTTTTCTTTTCTTCGTGACACAAAAGGTTTTTACTACCACGGTGGTGCTTTGATTTAATATGATGAGGCGGACTCAGAGAATTATCAAACCGCCTAGTTATCTGGGGTGTACTTCTGATTCGGAGCTCCAATGCCAGCGGGTTTGAAGTGGAAGACTTGTTAATATCACAAGATAATAACGACCACGTTAATGTTACACCGACAAGCAATGGCCGCACAGGATTAACTCAAGCAATGCAAGACCTGCAAATAGAGGATGCGCTACCAGAAACTGTGCTACCAGAAAGCCATGACGAAGACTAATGATGAAAGCATTCGGTGCGTCACTTGACAAATCAACTTGTCTTGATCATTCGATTTGGACTGAGAGATGGGTGAAAAACGTACGTTTGCCAAAAAGACTATATATTTTGCCTAAATGTAACATTGGTAGGAAGTACGAGGACCTCCTGACACATGAACTGGAGCTTCTTTCTACCACTGCAGGTTCCACTTCAGAAAGAGTTCTGGTGATGAGTCGTGTTTTGTTACAAAGAGATCCAATGATCAAAAGACATTCGAACACTTATTGGACGGCGTATTGAAGACTGGAAGGTAAACAAATTTGACAAGTTGTTGGCGGAAGCAGTGAGATGTGGCAAAAAGAAACAAATAAATCAAGATAATTTGGACGACAAACATGTCTCGAAAGTGTTTGCTTCATTAATGATGAAAGACAAAGTGAGAATCGCTATGCGGTGGCTCTCGGAGAGAGCAAGCGGGGATGTGCTTGATCCGATGCAAGAGGTGAAGAAAAGTGTGACCGTTTTAGAGACTTTGAAGTCAAAGCATCCAGAGCCACACAAGTCACATCTCTCTTCGCGATTCCAAGTGCAAGTTTTACCCGAATTTGAAGATGTTTGAATCAGTTCTGTTTCCATTGAAAAGACGACACGTTCTTTGCAGGGCAGCTCGGGAGCTTCGGGAACAGATTCTGAGCATTGGCAGACAGTTTTATTACGTCATGGGGCTCACAGTTCACACGAAGTTGCAACTCCCGCCACAAAAATGTGCAATCAAATCTTACCATGGTCGAAAGTGCGAGCACTTGTTTCTGGAAGATTGATTGCGCTTGATTGTCCTGGAGGGCGACCTATTGGCATAGGCGAGAGTCTACGGAGAATAATTTGCAAAGGTGTGGCTGAATTCACGAAAATTGACCTTGAAGAAACATGTTAGACTGATCAATTAGCTTGTGGTCTGAAAGCTGGCGTTGAAGGTGCAATTCTTGAGCTCTCTAATGACAACAAGGAAGATGGCTCTGGCATGCTGTTGATGGATGCATCAAATGCTTTCAACCCGCTCAATCGTGAAACAGCGTTGTGGAATGCTCGAATATTGTGGCCTAGATGTTCTAGATTTCTCTTGAATACTCACAGAGGCTTCGCGACGCTTTTCGTTGCTGGCGCCGATGAAGTGATATACAGTAGGGAAGGAACCACACAGGGAGATCCACTGACAATGTTCTTCTATGGTGTTTCACATCTTCCCCTGATTCGGAAGTTAAAGGATTCGAACAATGTGGTACAAAGTTGATATGCTGATGATTCTGCGGCCATAGCAAAACTCAAGAAGTTGGAGAAATGGCTGAAAAACTTGATTGAGGAAGGTCCCGCCTTCGGTTACTTTCCAGAGTCTTCCTAAATTTTTCTGATTATCGATAAACAATATGCTGAAGAAACGCATCACATATTTGACAAGTACTATAGTGGAAGGGAAGTGGTTTTTGGGCAGTTCCATTGGAAATGGAAATGAGAAGGACATCTAACTGAAAAAGAAAGAACTTAAATGGGTAGACAAATTTGAGAAACTTTCTTTTGTGGCAAAAACAGAACCACAATGTGCTTTTTCAGGACTGACAAAGTCCCTACAAGCGGAATGGAATTTTTCCCATTGTGTTTTGGGTGGTTCTAGTCAGCTTTTTCAGCCGCTAGAGAACCTTCTGTTGGAGAAATTCTTACCTGAGATACTTGGAACTTCGTCCATTTCATCAATGGAGAGACGTCACTTTTGTTTGCCAGCAAGAAAGGGTGGTCTTGGAGTGTCTAACCCAATCAGTTTCGCTGATGAGTCTTACAACACGTCACGGGAAGCAGTTACGGTTCTTTATGATGCTATTGTTGATCAGCACGGTTTTTCCCATGAAGACCACAGAAAGCAAATGTCTCGATCGCGGGAAAAATTTCATCGAATAATGGAAGGAAAACATGAAGAGTTGCTGGCTGACTGCGTTACCGATTGCTGCAGAAAGCTTTGATCTTTCGGAGGTGGAGTTTCGGGATGCATTGAGTGTCCGGTAAAACAAAAACTTGATCGCTTCGCCAACTTTTTGTGATGGTTGCCAGTCACCATTCATCCTACGGCATGCGTTAGCGTGCAAAAAATTCGGTCTCCTAACTTTACGGCACAATGAGATTAGGGATGCTGTAGGAGATTTATCTTCTTTAGTGTGGAAGGATGTGCAGAGAGAGCCTGTTATTAGAGAATAGAACCCGCAAGATGAGACACCTGCATTAATTGCAGATTTGTTTTATCGTGGAGTTTATGTTAGACAGGAAGGAGCGTCTTTTGATATTCGTGTCTCTGACACCGACGCCATCTCCTATCAGAGCAGAAGCCCCATGAGTGTTTTGCACTCAGCAGATTTTGAGAAAAAGACAAAATATTCAGACCCGTGTCAGGAAAGACATATGTCTTTCACTTCTCTTGTCGTGTCTGTTGATGGGATGCTTGCTACAGAATGTGCAAGTTTCCTTCGGAGAATAGGAGAAGCATTATCTACCACGTGGGCGAAACGCTATAGTAAAACTATAAACTGGGTGAAGTGCCGGCTGTCTTTTGCCGTGCTCCGTGCTTCCAGTGTGTGCTTCCGAACAAGGACCAAGTGGAGGAGTATTGGATCAGATAATGATTTCTTACCCTAGAGAAATATTTACGGATGTTCTACAATGAAGAGAAATTGGCTAGCTAGACTCTGCTAGTAAGGTAAAACGTGGACCTAAATGAAACAAAATGTTGAAAAAATGAACCAAATAGATAATTGACTGATTTCCATTAAAAAATACCTGAATAAATTCATCGCTTGACTAACTGTTTTACAAAATTTATTAATTTTGCTTACGGTTTCTGTCTATGAAACAACTTCTTTGCGAGCCGATTTGTTCTATGAATTTATTCGAAGTATTTCAAAGTTTCGAAGCTTAAATGGTTTTAATAGAAAAAGTTAAGCTTTTCACGATATCTTGCTTGAACTTTTTGATCAGAAAACATTTGTCCGACGAAATGTATTTTATTTTTCGAACCAAATTAAGACACAGCTTAAATCAAAATAGTTCGAAGTTTCAAAACTTGATTAGCTTGATAAGAAGAAAAATCTTTTTTCGAGCCGATCGATTATTGGAGATAGGCTTGCTAGTATATACCAAAAAAAAGCTTCAACATGTTTGGTAGAAACCGATTGCACGAAATTGATTAGTCCTTTAGAAATGAAAGACTTTAAACTACATTTTAAACAATGCTTGAGCCTAAAAGCATAAATATGAAAAGGTTTACGTCAGATTCTTTTTATAGATCTTTTAACATGAAATAGGTTGATTTTTCGATATATTAGCACAAGTTAATCGGAAAAAAACCAGGATGACATTGGAAGATGCCGATCCAAACCACTTCAAATCTTTAAAAAAAAATACAAAAGAAATAGTTCTTTTTGTTTTCATTCTTTCTTAATAATTGAAAAAATTGGTTTCTCTTTTTTTTCAATGAAACAACTCTGTTAATGTTTCTCAAATTTTGTAGTTATTTACATGATTCCCATTAGAAATTTTTGACAATTAAACACTGTTCAGAAAACCGCGTTCTAAGTCAAAAACCTGAAATCCATGATGAATACAGCAGCTGATAATAAATTGTTACAGTACAGTTATAGTGTGATTAAGTAACTGAGAGGAGTGCAATCTAAATCACGTGCTAAAGTTTGAAAATTGTTAGAAAAAAGTTCAATTCTAATTTATAAAACAATTAATGTTCCGACGTAATCATCTTTAATTGAAATGAAAGGCATCAGCAAACAGAAGATTTAAATCCTTACGGATTTAAATCCTTAGAATGAAATTGAAACCAGTATTATTGGTTGAGATTTTTTCAATATAAAGCTGTTGCATGGAAATTTACAATGCCAATTTGCCAGAGGAAAAGCCAATTTACAATGCCAATTTGCCAGAGGAAAAGCCAATTTACAATGCCAATTTGCCAGAGGAAAAGCCAATTTACAATGCCAATTTGCCAGGCGCACATAGAATTTCGCATGAGCAATTTTTGATCGCATGCGAGGCAATGAATGCTTGTCAAGACAGTTTTTTTTGGAAATCCGGTTGTTTTACAGACAAATCTGCAAAAATTAACCTGATGTTGAACTTTTTCAAGCATGCTTTTGCAAACTATCTGTTCCGACTTATTTTTGCGCTCATGCATTCAGTAGTTTGTGTATGAATCTATGTGAATAATTTGAAAGAAAAATTTTGTTTAACCAACCTCCGTTTTTTTAGATTTCAAGATCCACCAAGCTCCCCTTTACACCCTAACATTCGGCACAATGATTGCAAAGAGTGATAACATGGCAAACACTACTGGTACACAGGATGGCCTTGATTTCCACAATAGAATGGCCTTCTCAACTCCGGATACGGACCAGGATATGTGGACGTATGGGAACTGTGCTGCAGACTATGCAGCTGGCTGGTGGTATGAGCAATGTCACAGAGCAAATTTGAACGGTAAAATGGCCCCTTCAGCTTCAGTGGATTATGAACAAATGTCTTACAACGATGGCGATGCATGGAAAATGATTTCAAGGAGCGAAATGAAAATGATTCGCGTTGCCTGATTGGACAGTTGAAGGATATTGCAAAAAAACTATGTTGGACACATTTATGATGTAGAAAAAAAAGGTTTTTGACCAACTTTGTCTTCAAAACTTTAATTTGAAGATGTTTGTATAAGTTTCTCGGAAAAGTATTTTTTTTACAATTACAATTCTACAACACTAATGATCCGATATTTGACTCAGCCGATAAGTTTTAAATTTTACGGACTACGGGACGGCACAGTTATTATTTTGGTATGCTTGAAAAGTTGCTAGTATAAAAAAGTTTGAGTATGTATGAACGTTTTGCTCGAACGACTTAACTATTGATCTGAATGGCTCAACTGACTGAATTTTGCATCAATTTAAAATAAATATCCTTTACTTTTTACTTACAACTTTAAAATAACAGCTTAAACTGTTACGACTGCTAAATCTAATTAAATAAAAGGATCGGTAGGTTAAGCTTGGTCTGCTTAATAATTCTGGCAATCTTTTACCAAATGCGTATAATTTGCTCATAGTTTTGGGTACCAGGTCTGGTTTGTCTGATCGAGATGAACATTACGCGATGAGATCAGGACAAGGTGATTCTCACAGCGCTGAGTATCACGACCAGAAGAGTTGAGCAACAATAAGACAGTTATGCTTACACTTGAGGCAGGAGATCTTGCTTAAATTAAACAACTAATTATTTCAAGTTGTAATGTTTCCTTATGAACGTGGCTTGTACTAGCACAATGTAAACTAAAATTTTGGAGTCAAGAAATTTATATGATTGTTCCGACTTTCGATACGAAAGTAACGGAATATTTGTGCTCGGGGTGGGTTTTTTTTTCTTCAGACAAATTTCGACTTTTTAACTAACCATTTTTGACGGAATTTTTTAAAATCGTTCGAAAGCTATTGTTGTCCTGAGCTCAAATTTGAAAAGATATTTCACCTGTGTTCTTTTTTCGTAAAGTTATGGGGGTTTAAAGATTGCAATTTTGGCCAATTTGGGACAATTAACGCGCGATATATTTCGCTCTATTAGCGCGCAAGCGGAGATTTAAACCGGTTTATAAATCGTTCCAAATTGGTTGAAAGAAGCTTAACTGCCATAATTGATTTGTTACAAGGAGCGAAATCTATCCTTTTGTACTTTATATGGCGTGTGGGGGGATGATTTTCAATAAAAAAATTCAAATTTTAGAAAAAAAAGTTTCATTTTTTTTTATTTCATTTATTTTTTAAATGTTATTACTGCTCCATTAAACCTTAAAAGGCAGTCGGAACATTCAGGGCTTCGCCCTGATGCGAGCAGTATTGTTTATCTTTCGAAGGCAAGAGGTTTGTTGAGGCCAGAAGCGTTTATGCACCTCGTGTTTAAGCAACAAATTATCAATATTTTAAAGTTCTCATATTCAGCATTTTTTGCAGGGTCAACATCGCAGGCTGGAAAAAATTATTCAAGTGGAACAACGGTTCCAGTTGTACAACGTGCCTAGTGTAAGTATCTGTTGAAGTTCTGGCAATTACTGCTTCAGAAATTTCCAATTTTGATTAGTATATGTACACAGCTTGAATCATTTTCTAGCCAAATGAATCAAAATAATTGCCAGCTAATTTCATTTATTTCGGAATGCTGTGCTGATACACAACCTATTGTATACTTCATTTTTTTTCTGGCAGAATTTCACGCGACTATTAGTAATACATCATCGTCAAGGCTTCTGAAATTTTTTCAAGTTGGCAATTGACCTGCTTGAACTTCATATGGGACAAGTTTTTGATCGAACAAAGAAAATATATAAGTAGTAATTTCTTCTATTTCATTTATTAACTTTGCTCATTGAAGTAGGTGTTCTTGGATTCAGAGTTTGCTCCATCTGACACATTTTAATATACAGAACCTCGCCTGTTTCATATCGGGAACCTTAAAAGCAGGCTTGAATTTCTCGCTTGCAATATGAGTTAGGACCGAAGTGTAACTCATAGAGTAATTTCGGATAGGGTACACCGTCTGCTCGTCACGCTATCTTATTTTCGGCCGGATAGATTCGTGCAACTTCTTAGTCTAATACCGATCCTAATCTTACTCTTATACTATCTAGTCTCAGGTTGTTTAACTAGTCTCTGCTAGGCTCAATAGATCTAGGGTATACTGGTTTATTGCGGCTGCTGAAGTGCTCGGGAGAGTCCAACTAATTTCTAAGTTAAATTCAAATCTCTCTGGTGCTGAAATTACAAGTAACTTCAGCACTTACAAATAAGTGGGTTGTTAGTTAGATGGATCATGATTGGTTAATATTAAATACTTTACATTGGTAAAACATTTAATTTATCCAATCATAAAATGTAGTTTAGATCAGGTTCCACCCATCCGGGTTTTACAGAGTTTTTTAGAACAGTTCTTCTGTAGTTCAAGGATGGATGATGGACGTTGGTATTTGGCGAACATCATAATTTTCTTCCGCTTCTTCTTGTGACAACGACTGAGTCTTTGCAACAAAATCAATTCTGATTTCAGAATGGTTGGCTATGTCAGGTTTTTCTGTTCTTCGTGGAGAACTTCTTTTGTGTCTGATCTAGTTTGGGAATGGCGTGGAGATTGTGCGTGGAGGGGATGCCTGGTTACTCGGATCTGTACGTATACTTGAACATCGAGGTGGTCATTGGTCTAGTTCAATGAAGTCCTTTTCTGCGAAGTCAAGTCGTACTCTAAATCCTTTGAGTTGTGATTGTGAGCGGCATATCGATTGTAGTTGGTCATTCTCTCTCGAGTGTAGTGGGGTCGTTTTGTCTTTTGATGTTCGTCCTTGGTGTTGTATTCTGATCTATATATTGCATCATGTGATTTTACATTTTATAAAACTTTTATTAATTTAATATTTTTTAATTATGATTTTAGTTAGTTGTTTTCACAAAAGCTTTTTGTTTTAGTTCGGTTATTTTGAAGAGTTACTCACCCTTGAGTAGCTCTTATTAAAAATAAAGGTGTGGTCACAAAGCGTGGATGTAGCACGGTGGGTTAGGCCGGCTATAGAGCATGCTCAGGACGTCCTTCCTGGTGGGTTAGGCCAGGTGTGGGAGTATGATTTCATGCGGTTTTTGTGAGGGGTCCTGTTATGTGACAACGTTTTATGTTGGGTTTGTTGTGGTCTTACTTATGTCTTGTTGGTTATGTACTTTTTCCAAAAAGCAAATTGTTTGTGGTATGGGTTTGTCTTTCGACTTTTTTGTGTTTTATTATTTCTTTCTAAGACTTTGTAATAGTCTTCAAAAGAATAAATTATCCAGTTTTAAACTGGGTTAATCCGGTTTGGGTACCGTTGGTTTCCTTTTCTTAGTCATGCTGTTATTCTATGATTTGTGGTATTTAGTAAGCTGCGTTGGTTAGTTTTGTTTAGTATATGATTCCTTTCCAACCGGGTTAAAGGAAAGTTTGAAGCATGTTATTATATGTTAGAGTTGTTGAGTGTGAAAACTTGAAACTGAAATTCATTATTTTAAACAATTCTTCGTGGGCGAGCTGTGCGAGTGTGGATAGAATTTCTGTGCGAATGAATGAAAATATCAAAAGGTTAGTACTGCAATTGCATTTTATTAATTTACTGCATAGAATTTGGAAATTTACTGCTAGTTATGGGGGAATTTTAAGATACAAATTTTCATCATATGTATATTTACTGCTTTTGGGGGAAAATTTTATAAATTAATTTACTGCATTGGTATTATATTTATTTAATTGTTGGTGCACAAGTTTTAATAGGGTTTTAAACAGTTTTGAAGAAGTTTGCTATTTTTTTTTTCTTTTGTGAATTTTTCAGATGATCTTGGATGAAGGCTAAAAATCTAAAGAAAACATGAATAAAGAATGGTGAGTTTTTTAATTTTTTAATTAGTTAGTAATATTCATTGAATTCATACTTACCTGTTAGTCGTCGGGGAAAAAACCGTGGGGGAAGATATCATGAATTAGTTCTGAAGTTGTTAGTAGTTTAGCTAAGATGCGGATGATATTTTTAGTTTGAAGCAGTGGCCAAAGCAATTGAAGTGCCTTAATAGTGGTTAGTTCTTCAGTGCCTACTGCAAACTCATAAGGTGTGTTTTGGATTAAGTTATATAATTTGTGGTTAAATTTAGTGTTGTGGATGAATTCTAAAATTGGGATTTCTATAGGTTGTACAAACTCGTGCGGGATAAGGAAGGGTCGGGATTCTTCGGCGTTGAAGGTCTTGGTGATGGGGCAGAAAATGTACATTTGGGTTATGGGGTCATAATTACGAAGAATACCATGGAGGTTAGTGTCTTTAATACAATATGTGAAATTTAGGAAATACGGTGAAGTGTATTTTGAATTGATGAATTGAAAACGATGGTGTGGTTGTCTAGAGGGTGTGTGGAGGTCAAAGTGATTTTGGATGAAACGATAGTAACTGTATGTATGTGTTTGTTTAGTGCGCAACATAATATCATGTGAGCAGTGCAAATCTCTTTCGTGTGGTGCAAGGAAGTGAAAGGTTAGTGAAAAGATTTGGAAGCGTTCTTTAAAACTTTCGTATGCTTGTGTGTTTGTTAGTGCTTCTGAAATAATGTGATCAAACTTTCGGTCGAAGATGTTTAGTGTAAATACATATGGTTTTTTGATGAAAAATTTCTCGGTGATTTGTGGATTAGCGAAGCGATCGTCGTCTAAGAATTGATCTTGGTTAGCTCTGATGATGTTGTGATCGTAGTATTCTAGTGTATATTCATTAGCTCTAGGTGCAGTGTGTATTTTTAGTGATTTTTTATATCCAACGTAAGTAAATTGTCTAGCAGTTAGCGGTGTAGTTAGTCGATATAGAATGTCTTTGTTTCGTTCTATGTCGATGGAAGTGTTGGATAAAGGTAAGCAAAGAGGGTTAGTGAAATGATAGTATGAGGTCCAAGAGAGAGTGGGCATTAAAACGTATTCATCTACAAAGTTGCGTGTTTCGTTAGTGTCGTGGGGGGTGTTTAAGGTGTATTGTGGAAATGAGGGTAAAGTGATAGCT